CATGCTACTCTACCATTTACTAGCAGCACGTACATTTGTCTAACAAAAACAGATTTGAACCGATGGTGACATTTAGCAGCTGACAGATGGAATATATAAGTTGGGACTTCGTTCCCCATCAACATAAACTTCAAACTTACCGAACTGCAGTGGGCCAAGTCGATAGCAATAGACCTGAGCAAACTCGGCAGCTGTGTCTGGATGTTCCTTTGCAGTGCCGTGATCAGTTGAACCGTTCGGAATTGACGCATCGGTGGGCAATATGCGGGCAAGAGAAGAGCTGCCATGGATCCGATTATACGTAGCATTCACAGCCCAACCAACAAGTTTGACAGTAACGCGCAACTCAGCCAACAATGTGTGAAGTTGTTCTTCTTTTTGCCGAGAGTTCCCCTGGTCAGTAACGGGCCGATCTTGACCGGAAACATTCAGTGTTGCTGAATCTGCAAACGGGATATCGGGTACGTATTCTTCCGAACCGCTTGGATTACGTTCCGCTTGTTCCAAATCTTCAGTGTGTTCATCAACTACTGGTTCCTGATGAAGTGGAGTGGTTGATGTTGCGTGATCTGTGTTCGACTCGGCTAAATCATCCGCATCAGTCTTTGATTCAACCTCTTCTGTTGGATCTCGATCCCCCATTTCCTGGATTATTTCATCGTCAGAGACCAAGGACCACAATCCCAGTTCCGTTAACTCGGTTGGAATAGTCATTTCAACCATATCGGTTTCTGGATCTATTGATTCGTTTGCTTCAATGACAGGGACCGTATTTTGTTTCAAGACTCTCCGGTTGTATCTTCGATAGCGAAATGATTTTTGTCGCACTAGTGTGCATCGCGACTCACCACTTGTGCTTGGGCGAGGCATAGCCGCCGTGGACGGCTGATCAGCATGCTTTTTCAGTCCCAGTTTGCTGTTGAGAGTGGGCGAAAAATATGAACATAAGGGAGATTTTCAAAATTCGGTCACTATTTAAAATATGATAGAGTAGAAAATGTCGAGGTTCAATGAATAACTGTTCATTTGCATAACAATGGTCGATAACGGTGGATAAGCTGCGACAATCCAGCGAACAGTACGGTAATAATAGCACTGATTAACCTGAAATTCGTTTTTTATGCAATTTGATCACTTTTATATCAACCTTAGCTACGGGTCAAAGTTACATAAACATGAAAAAAACAGAATTGTTCAAAAAGAGTTCGACAGTATGCTCTCCACTTGCCATAGCGTCAGTTATGAGGAGTTCATGCGAAACAAAAAGAAAGTTGTCAGTGGACTTTTGTAAGGACTAAGAATGAGCATTTGAAAGTTGTTCCTTCAATTTTTGGAGTAATTAACCGAGTGTGCTATTTATCCGACTTGGCACAAGCCAACATGTACGCGTCTCCTTAGTTCAGCAACCGTTAACAATAACAGTTTATATCAGATTATATTTTGCATGTATGTTTGCGTGCTTTATTACCTACCTAGGCCAAACAAAACGGCTGACGTGACTGAATATGACATAGTCAGTGGACACCAAATTCAGTCAAAGGTCAACGAGCTGACAGCCTCTGGCCTCTTCCATTCAGTGTTGGAGACAAAATACCGGTTCGATTGGATTACTGGGTTCTATGTCATTTCTTTCAACCATGACTTCGGGTATGATGCACTTAGCCGAAACGGTAGTAATTCAAAGAGGTAAGCATAATCTGTGCAAACATAAGGGTTATCACCTTGAAGTTGACCTGGTAAAACCGCAACAAATGTGAACGTGCCACCGGTAGGTTTTATCTACTTAATTTATATTCTCAAAACAAATGTGAATATGGAAGGTGGATCGTGAGTGGGGATGCTTGTGCGTGGGGACACAGTATAACTGTAGACATGCCTGTTGAGAAATGCCAGTGTGTGATTCGTCGAAAGTATGGGAACGAAATGATGCGCGACAAAACCCCGAATCAGTCCCGGTACATTCAATCTGAGCCCTGACCATTGCCGAAAGTAGTGTAGTGTAATTATTCTCTATTTTCTGTGTACTCAAGTCTGCAATGATGAATACAGCGAATAGGAATACAAAACTGCACCCCATGCAAACTGGTGATCTGGATTGTCAATCATAAGGTTCAGAGCATTCTACCAATGCCATTCCAGATTCATTGCTCCCAACATTGGAAATGACGATTCTGTGTCACGAAAAATACAAACTACACAGGAAAGGAGAGCGATAATTAGCATGCCCATTTGTGGGCACCATGTCCTAAGGAATGACACATCGAAATGTTCTATACATACATTTCCATAAATACCCATTGAGTGAATGGATGTAAGAAAAAGTAACAATTACCTGAGCTGCGAGTCGTAGACAGACATCAATTGAAGAATTTGATGTACCAAACGCGCTGGACAATCCCGAGGGAGGCTATCGGGCAGTGTAGTCTGACTCGGACTGAGTTCTTTGTCCTCGGTTAAACCGGTCGTACGAGTTAACCAGTCCATATCGATGCGAGCGCATTCTGCAATGCTAGTTTGCAGTTCTGACTCTGTATAAGTGGATCCGGTCACCAAAATCCAGTGCAGCGCAGGCACGTGAACAATCACACGAAGTAGTAGAAGTACAGTGCGATAGAGCGGGACACGGCTGTCCAAATCCATTGCGGAATCATTTCGCAAATAGGCGATCAACATACGCACCAAATCGTATCGAGCGAGCGTATGAGAAACCGTGTGCAATAGCGCACAATGTTCAACTAATCCGGGTTCCGGACTTTCCCATGATGGTCGGCAAATGAATGTTTTCAAAAATGCGATCAACGCATGAAGCAACATAGTTGCATCACTATCTTCTCGTGCGATTTTGATTCGAACCATCTCTGTGTTCCATCGACTTTCAGAGCTCCCGAACGCAAATCCGGTCCCCTTAGCCATGTGAGACGGCGGGTTAATGGGACTGTCCGCATTCATTTTTTCATTTGCTGCACGCGTCAAAGCGGTCAGTTCTTGAGAAAGTTCCATTCGAGCTGCCAAAATCAGGTTGATTTGCTCCGACTGCAATATGGACGAGTTTGGTGAACGGACTAATCGTAATACTACTAAACACAGGAAAGACAATATCAAATCTAAAACTCCGTTTTCCATATGGTTTTTGATCAACGATGAAACGGACTGGGGTTGATCTTTCATGCATCGAGCATAGAGCTGACATAACGCCCGGAATGGTAGAGATCGTATAGACCAGTTTTCGGTAATATCAGCCTGTTGAGCTTTCGTTATTGCTGTTGTCGTGTTACTGGAAGTGGCATCTGACGGATAATCAGCCAAGTCCGAAACTCGACACATTTGTTGTAACGGTCTGGGCTGGGCCAATCTCAGAGCAGACTTTATCAAATCAGCCAGAAATGCGATGGATATGTCAGATGAAGATTGGGTACTGGAATGGACTGCACGGTGTGATCGGTTTGCCAACTGAACCGAACGGTTGACCACATCCAATAACGACTTTGCATAGTAATCCAGTCTGAGGAAAAGCCAATAGACGAGCATACTGCACATGGGGACTTTTTGAACATGTGTGTTCTCGGAAAACACGGGATCTCGATCAGGCTTGTGATTTTCAGACAGCCGGGGAATAGGGCTAAATTCGGGGAAATCTAGAGATGGTTGTATGCCATACGCTTTAGACAAACAGTCGAGCCACTGCTCGAGGACTGTCCTTCCAGTCGGGGAAGACTTATCTCCATCGGGTTTTGCAGTTAGCCCTATTAGCTTGATTGCAGCAGATGGCGTGGAATTGGAAGATGACGGTTTTTCGGATCGGGAGACAACATTCTGCGAGTGAAATAGATTAAGTAAACAATCTGCAAGCGAGCGAATTACACCAGAGTCAAATAAAACAGAAAGAAAATTGGATTCAAGTGAATCGAACGGACAATTAGATAGATTTAATACATTCGCCTGATTTTCCCATGTGGTTGGTATGTCTCGAGCATGTGACTGTCCAGCAGGTGATGGAGAACGTCGGACTAAGATGACCAGTGGTTCACATCCAACCCCGACGGAACCGTAGACGAGGCGGGATAACTGTTGAACGGTCCATTCGTCCGAAATACCTCGGGTTAAAGGAATCGCATCATCCCAGGGAAGATCACGCAGTCTTTGTCCGGGCAGAGGAACCTGACTGGAAACAGCTAATTCAAAGTCACACAGCTTCTCTAAGGCTGCGTATTCCACAACACTGGTAGGTCGTACAAGTAACAATTGAGTGAATGGATGAAGAATAGTAGATATCGCCACACGCAGATGGGCTACGTTCACCTGGTGCCCGATCTCGCTGCCCACATTAATCAGTAAGGTGGCTTGATTCAGGGAAGGATGGGAACAAAATGTCTGCTGGTGTGCAGTACGGAATTTTTGCTGAAGGTGATTGACAAACGAGGAAACATTGGAACTGTACAAATCCGGTGAGAGGGTGATTGCAATTGGTGGCCCCGTTAATGAATCGACCGGATTGGANAATGAATCGACCGGATTGGAGTAATCTGAACTCAATGCAGGAAGTACGAATACGGCGACTGGTCTCATCCATCGCACTGGCTGCAGAGCACGTGTGAAGAAACATTGCAGAAAAGTTGAAATGTGCGTTTCTGTTTTGAAAAGTGAAATTGTAAGGGGGGGGGGTCGGAAATTATTACTCATGTGCAACCGGAAGGACTAGGTTTCATATAATGAAAATGAATCACGATGAAAGCTATTTAGCTTGCGGAGACAATAAGTTCTACGTGGGACGGGACTGCACTATGTTTCCCCTTCGGACATTGCTTTTAACACTAAGCGCTTTAAGGTATTACAGATCAAATAACATTATATTAAACAATACTATTATATATATCCTAATAAGTAGTGAATGACTGGACAAAATTACCCTGGAGGCAAGCGATCGGTTTCGCAACTCTTGCCGCTCCTCAGACATACGTATCCGGTCATCTTTTGTCAGTTC